CTGATTTGCAATAAATTGAACTTTGCCAAACTTTCTAAACACTTATGAAACTCCTAGAATTGACAATGAAATACACTTAATGTGACTGTTACATCGATTTTAGGATTTTTTGAAATTTTAACATTGAAAATTTCTAGCATAACCTTTCTCTATTTTGCCTTTTCTGGCTATTGCTTTTTTGTTTTCTTCTTTTTCCCCTTCCAGTTTCATAGGGCCTAAGTTATAAACCTGAAAAAAGAAGTTCTGTGTGACACTATTCAGGGAAAGGAGGTTAATCACTTTTAAGCATTTGGTTTTCATCTTATTTAAGGCAAAAAAATGGGAATTGGGACCTTGTGGATCCAGTACTGACTTGGCAGATAAGAGGAGAAAGAAGGCCTGAAGAGAAAGCTTAGTCAATGAGGGAAAGGAATTTTGCACCAGCAGGAACAGCAGCACTAAACAAATATGGGGAAGTAAAGTGTACAGGGAAGAAAACAGGTAGAAAAACTTTAAAGTGCTGTGAAGTTAAGGAGCATCACCATCATCATCCTCACAAATAGAAATAAGCAACAAGCTACAGAAGAAAAGACGATGGAAAAGGAAAGGGTTGAGTTTCTTCTGTGAAATCGAAGGACCAGGTAGCATTTCACTTGCTGCTAAAAAACCTTTCAGGCAAGTTCTTTTTGTATTTTGGTTGAGGATCAAGGAAGGAGAAAGAGGAGGCAGAAGGACCATCAGGCTGCAATTGGTTTCTCTTTGTTGGAACAGAGTAGAAAATATAAAGAAAAAACACAAACCAGTGTTTGTATGTTCAATTAACATTTGACTTTTCTTCCTTCTCCTTCATAATGATAAAAATAATTTCTGTTGAATTTTTGCACTTTATCCTGTGTTTTTTCATTTTCATATTTTTCATAATTAACATTAGTAGGTCATTATCAATAAATAAGTAAATGGAGACAAAAGGAAAGCATTTGCCCCAAATATTTATCAGGTCACAAGTTAGAATTGGCCTTCAAATTTACAACTTCTAAACTCTTGATTTCTCTTATTACTAGACAGCCGTGACTACTGAAGAGGAAACTCTAGGTTACCTAGGACCAGTTCATTTAGATCTTCTATCTGTACTACCAAATGAAAGATGAAACAGTGGGAGGTCAGTCTCCCTCTCCAATCATTTGGAATTCTTACATGCACCCAGGCACACACTCTCACAGTGGGCTTCTTAATCTATCTACCTATTTATTTATGATGGAAACATAATTGATTGTACATATCTATAGGGAGCAGTGTTGACTATTAATACCTGTGTCACAGAGATCTTGCTCAACTCCTGCTGGCAGCCAGGAAGGTGAGGTAGGAGGCCACGAGAAATCCACCTCAGAGCTATTTACTGACTAATTCTTAAGCTGACTTTTCAACACTGATGAAGACCATCAGTACATGGAATTACATTTATTACCTCACAGTACTTTTTTTTCAAAGGCCTATATTTTCTGTGTCCCTTCAATTCTCTTTCTGGGACAAAGAACCATTATCATTTGTTTTCGGTGTTTTTAATTTCATATTATACAATCAATTTTACTGTTAATTTCTGAAAATCCTTAAGTACGTCTGCAAAAATGTGGCTTAGTGTGAGCTTCCCCATCTGCATCAGATCTGTGTAAATATAGCCTGCTCAGTTTCACTTGCGTTCAAACCTGTACCTTTGAGGCCAAGACCTTGGGAATTCAAGGGCAAAGTGAATTTTAATTTGGTACATTTTGTACTTTGACGAATAATGGGAAAAAAAATGTCCTCAAAGCTTGATTGGTTCTAGCCACATTTGCCTGTCACTATTTCTGAAACCATTGTACATAAAATCACCGTACAAAAGGTCCTTCTCTCAAAATCAGTTTCCTGGGGAAAACAAATCAAAACAGGGGAGGGGGAAAATGTGTTTCATTCTCAAGTCTATAAACTGTCCAATTTATTTTGGTCAGGCCTTTGGACACGCTAGCAAGTAATTATTTTTTATGGCTGATAAAATTACTACTAAACATTTATGGTTAATCGTTTTGGAATAACTTTTTAAAAAAAAAATCAGTCATCTTGGTTTCTAAAAATTGTTTCTTCTCGCCAGACAAATGAGGCAGGTGCCGAGAGTTGACCCAGTGCCAAGTCTCAGGACTGTCCAGTCTTCCACACCAGATCTTAAGCCAGGCCTTCTGAATATTCTCGCGGTTAGAAAAATCTATCCCCCCCGCCCCCCAGACTCGCAGATGCTGTTCTCCCCCCACTGGCTCTACACAGAACATCATTATCTTTGCCGAGCTTCTGTCTCTATGGCAATAACAGATGGGAAGTGCTGTGGAATTATTCATGTTCAGAAAAGGAGGCAGTCAAGAAGGAGGGAAAGGTGGGGGGGTGGGAGAAGGGGCATGACCTGGGAGCAGGGCGATGGGGGCGTAAGGAAGGAGACTTAGGCGGGAGAGAGGGGAGGAGCAGGGGATGACAGGCCTGTGAGCCTTTGGTAGGCCTGTTCTGAGGGAAAGGGCATGGGGGGATCTACAAGCATAAGAGTATTCCTAGTGGGCCGACTCCAAATGTAGACCTCCCGACCCCGAGACAGTAAAACTAAAAGAAATTGGGTGAAAATGGGCAAACATAAAAAAAGGACAAAGCTCGAGTCTCCTGAATTTTGTGCACTGCTACTCGGTGGACTATTTCAGTTCCTATATTGCGGTGGGGTGGAGAAAAGGGGATTTCTCGGTGTTTCGAAATATGACGGAGAAGCTTGGCAAAGTTCAATATGCTAATTGGCTACCCTGGGAACAGTGACCAGTAAGACCACCCTACGTCTCGGAGAGTCACAGAGGAAAGGCCTTAAGTCGTATCTTTCTCCACCTCCTCTTGTCCCTTTCAAAAAAAAAAAAAACAACCCTCAGCAAACACTGTAAAAACATGTAATTTATAGCTCCCTTTTGGAACCGAGAGAGCACTCTGGTGGGAGGCTGGCTGAGAAGTAGAGACAGAAATGTTTTCTCTTGGTTCTGCCGGAACTTTGGCCACCCCTCCCGCCTGGCCCGATGGCGGATGGAGGTCAGCCGGGGGAAGGCGTCTGGGTGGAGGCCGCCGGGGCGGGGCGGCGCGCTGCCAGCTGGCGGGGCTGCCCTCCGGCGGGAGGCCCCGCGGGGGCGGGGG